TTTAAAAGTGTAAAACATATCTCGATACATATTCATAGTACGTGTCTTGATAAACTGTTCATTCTTCTATTAAATCAGTGAAAGTATATATGTCAGTTTATCGACATGGCAGTCATAGCTGGCAGTGGTCAGTGAATTTGACTAGCTGTGTTTAACGTCACGAAAAAGAACAGAAAAAAAAGAAATGAAGAATTTACAAAGTCTCTCTGAATCATTCAAAAAGCCAAGGAATCGCCGAAACATTATGTAGCACATGTATTATAAAAACTTCAGCATCACTGAGATCAAATTCTATCAATGAATCGTGCAATTTTAATATGAACAATTTAAAATGTCGCATTAAAAATCTATCGATATGATCGCCTTTGATTGTAATGAAAATCCGTCGATGTTTCTATTTTCCTATTTTCAAGATTCAAGTGTTGGACTAATAATAAGTACGGGTATGTTAAAGAGGGAAATTTCACGATGATCTTCACATGAGATGGAAGTTGTCATCGTGGACAGGTTTTGGTGACGAGCAACGAGCAACTTCGAATAATGATGGATCGGTGTAGATTGGTTCACTGGGGTCGAAGCCGGTTCTTCTGCTGGATGACAATCCAACAGCACCCTCCAGAGCAGTTGACGATGAGCTCACGCGTTGGCCGATCACGTTGCTCATCGATCGGGAGATCGACCTGTGCATTCGAAGAATGATACATCAACTTTAGGTAATAAATTCAAAAACAATTCGAACGTGTTAAAAGCGTTAAAAGCATCAAACCATTTGTCAAATATGACAGACGTATCGAATTTCGAACGATAGAGATTGGCACATTGACAACATGAGATATTGTTATTTATCAATATTTCGATTGACGGAGGAATGTTGTTCACGTCAAGTAAAAATTTATTGAAATATCGAATTTTTAGGAAGGGAAGGTTTTTAAAAATCTTGAATAAGAATTTATAGTGATACGGAGAACGTATGACAATTATTAGACAGAGACGTAGAATCTATTTCTATTTGACAAATGAAATAATAAAACAAAAAGTATTTAAATACAATTTTTTTCTAATCGAATTATAATTAATGTTAAATCTTATTTTACTCGAAACAGGATATTTTTAAGAGCTTTGGAACAACAGTTAGGAGCGTTAATAAACGTTAGGCAAACTACATACGTAGATTGAAACGGTTTCTGAAGACCCGTCCTCAAGAAAGAGAAGTTATTAGCACGGCTGCTGTAAGCATCGTCCGAATGATTGCTTCGATTACATATTTTGTCAACTCTACGGTTCTTCGTGATTACCGTGTAAGCGTATTTTCTGAAACAATTCACACGAATTGATATTTTTTTTATAAACATGGAAATAATCCTTTCAGAAGGAATTAGACACCTATAATCTACCTGTAAATTAACATGGATAATAAGACCACAGATGCTAGAAGTACTACGAGCACCGCGACTGCTGTTACCAGTCCATAATACTCGTTAGGAGTTATACAGACGTTCTCCATAATGGTAGTTTGTTTCTCAACCATTGTTTCTTCGTCGATGTCCATTCTTGAATCCAAGACCTGCAACTCGTTTAAACGTAATATTTCATTTTGCCTTGAATTCATTTCTGTTTGCAATTTGTTTTTCAATGTTGAAAGTAGGAAGAAAATATACACACTTTTTAGTGATGTGAAAATTTAAAGTGGTATTAAGTTGCACGTATTGTTTACAAAATGAAATTTAATAAGGTATCGACTTCAGAGGATAAGCTTTAATTCAATTAATTAGTTCTTTCATAGAGATTGAAACAAAACTATGAAAGAGGAGACTTTATGTGAAACATAAAACTGATACAAAAGATCGCATTATTTTCTTTGTCGCTGTATCAAGAGTATAATAAATTTCATCTCTTTCAGGTCTACCTCGATCATTTCTCTCACGTGTTCCTCTTCTTCCTCCTCTTCCGCATTATCACTGTCTTCAATGACTGTCGAATTCAACACAGAGAACGTGTCATTTATGTTATTCTCCGTTATCGTACTTATTTCATTTTCTTCTGCGATGGTATCGTTTTCTAACACGTCTCTTCTGCGTCTTCCAAAGGATGGCTCGCTCCTTCCGGTACCGCCGGAACAATAAGCTGGTTGACAACCGTCTCGACATGTTCGTACGGTCGCTTCAAACACCAAGAAATTAGACTCGGGGATTTTAAAAGCATTGAAACGCGCTTCCAGACTGTCACCATCCCTCAAACGATCCAACCCGGGGAATACGTAATTGTCCACTGGACAGCTGTGAACAAACAAATCACATTGGTATTGTATAAAGATTTTATCTTTCGAAATTTTTTTTTCACGAGTTAATCCATCATTACAAAACTGGAAAATCTTTAAAAAAAGTTTTATGATAAGTTAATTAGCCCTGCACGCTGAATATGTTAGAATATGTTAGACATATTTATGTTATGTTAAGTGGGTCAGGTGAACATATAGGTCGAGTCAGATGGTCATATCAAGGTGCAAGGTACAGGTAATTTAGGTGCAGTAAGATAGCAAGAACAGAACAAATGGATTATGTAAATTAGACAGATGGATATAAATGAATTACATATGAATGAATTAGACATTTGGTACAATTCATAAATAAATAAGATATTAGGCCGAGTATAAATTAAAGAAAAAAAAATGAATAATGCACTTTCTGCAATATTGTGCAACATCGGTAATTGTGGATGACATGAATATATTATAATAGCCTTATTTTGAGTGCTTTATACACTCTCGATGTTTATCCATTAAAACCGGAAGCACCCTGTGAACATGAACAGCAAAGTTCCATTACCTTGATCGATTTTGTTGTTATTGAGCCAATCAAAAGTTTTTTGTTGGACACGTGGAAATAGAATATCCCTTATTATTTTAGTAACAAATATTAAATTTTACCTTAGATATTACTGTTGTATTGAAATATCTATTAAAAGCTATTTAGATATTTAACAAAAGTAGAATAAAAGCATGTTCTATCTATAAATTACACACTATAGATTAGTTATTGACAAATAAAAATTATAATAATTTATACGACGCTTACCCATATCTGTCTATTAGTTGAACACTTCTTCCAGAGTATGGATCTCTTGCTATGACATTAGTAGCAAAGATGTCAGTTACATAATTGTACCTTTAAAAAATATTAACAAAATATTACACTAAAAATTCCAATCTCTTTAATGAAGTTCGTAATTAGTCCAGTATAAAAATTTTTATTTTTGTAGCAGAGCAAAGTTTTCTGTTTTAATTGTTTGTAGTTTTAGTGCTAAGGACTTTTAAAAAAAATTGATGCTAGAAAATATATGGGAAGAAAGATAAATGTTACATACCCATCCTGAGCTTCCAGTCTAAAAGTGAGTGGATCACCAACAGCGATGGTTGTCGTAGGTCTGCCCTGATAAAGAATCAGCAAACGTACTCGAGAACTTAAGGTATTTTCCGCTGGAAGATATTCGATTGGAATTGGAGACCCTGATCTACACAACATAAGTGCGAATTTCACATTAGTATAATCGAGACAGAGGTATCTTCATCTTTAGTTTTTAAAACATTAAGAACGTAGACACTTCAATACCTTGTTTCATATTGGATTAACAAAATTTTTCTTTGTTCAAAGTTAACTGCAGATATTCACAAGTTTCGGTGTTTAGAATTCTATTTTAAAGAGATACTGAAAGAAGCATTATAAATTAAATTCAAATTCTCCGCTCATTAAAATCTATGTTTCTTCTAAAGTATCACACAGTTTTATCCGCTTGTCGACTGAAACAAGCCAGAGGAGAAGTGTCTCTTCTCAATTTCGCGCAAAATATATTCAAAATTCAGGATAATGGGATCGAAGTGATCCTCAACGATATTAAAACAAAATTTCTCGAGTGTGCTTGCACCAGGATTCATGTTAAGTGAATGCGACACATTCTGCATTCCATACTCGATGACAGATCGGACTGTTTAATTAAGTGTACCGGGTGCAAGGCACGGTCTCTCAATCGATATGACCTGGCATACCCGGCACCGATGTAGCCGGATGTGACGACAGCTTCGCCAGGGCCTCGAAACAGACAGGTGAGATTGAAGCGTTTGTCCCTTCCTGTTTGCACATAGTCCGAGAATTGTACCACGACGATGTTCGTCATTGTGTCTCCATACTGCAATCGTACGTCGAATGTAATCACTGTTCATAGGTCAACTGTTGATTGAAAGGCAAGCTACGAAAACTAAATCTTGACGATAGATTAAACAAATCCTAAATAATCTGTCAGCTTCTTGAAAAATGAAAATGTTAAACATGCTTTCAGAAATGTTATATGGTATTTTTTGGTGTCTCTTAGCAAGCACCAAAGATACGACAATAGTAATTCTCTTACTCTTTGAGTACCGCATTCAGGATAACCTTGGGGACCACTGATCCGAAGAACATTTACGGTTCCCCCGTTCCCGCGGAAGAAGCAGCGATCATAATAGCCGTAAGTGTAAATCCGACCAATGAATCCTTCCGGTGTCCTCAAAGTAAATTCCATCCCGTCCTCGCTACACACTTGACTCACTAGAACGATCAGAAATTTACAATTTACTTGCTCTCTATTAATCTTCGATCAGCAAATATCGTAAATACCTAAGGCAAGTGCAAAGAACAAGCTGAAAATTATAGCGGTGTAAAAATCTAGATTTTTACAATTTTAAATTTAGTCACATATTTCGATTCCTGCAAGTATCATTCCTTTAATTAAACTGGCAATTCTGGTGATATTAATTCTGATTTGCAATTGAACAAACGGTATATCAAATTCAAAGAGCCTCCCACTTCGTTGTCGAGACCAAGGAAGAATCGACACACCGACGGATGTGACCAAA